GGAGCAGGAGGAGCACTGCCAGAGCCCTGCAAAATGACCTCCAGCAGGCCACATATGTGCATGTGTCTGCTCAAACGGTCTGAAACAGACTCCATGAGGATGGTATGAGGGCCCGACGTCCACAGGTGGGGGTTGTGCTTACAGCCCAACACCGTGCAGGACGTTTGGCATTTGCCAGAGAACACCAAGATTGGCAAATTCACCACTGGCGCCCTGTGCTCTTCACAGATGAAAGCAGGTTCACACTGAGCACATGTGACAGACGTGACAGTCTGGAGACGCCGTGGAGAACGTTCTGCTTCCTGCAACATCCTCCAGCATGACCGGTTTGGCGGTGGGTCAGTCATGGTGTGGGGTGGCATTTCTTTGGGGGGCCGCACAGCCCTCCATGTGCTCGCCAGAGGTAGCCTGACTGCCATTAGGTACCGAGATGAGATCCTCAGACCCCTTGTGAGACCATATGCTGGTGCGGTTGGCCCTGGGTTCCTCCTAATGCAAGACAATGCTAGACCTCATGTGGCTGGAGTGTGTCAGCAGTTCCTGCAGAAGGAAGGCATTGATGCTATGGACTGGCCCGCCCGTTCCCCAGATCTGAATCCAATTGAGCACATCTGGGACATCATGTCTCGCTCCAGCCACCAACGTCACGTTGCACCACAGACTGTCCAGGAGTTGGCGGATGCTTTAGTCCAGGTCTGGGAGGAGATTCCTCAGGAGACCATCCGCCACTTAATCCGGAGCATGCCCAGGCGTTGTAGGGAGGTCATACAGGTACGTGGAGGCCACACACACTACTGAGCCTCATTTTGACTTGTTTTAAGGACATTACATCAAAGTTGGATCAGCCTGTAGTGTGGTTTTCCACTTTAATTTTGAGGGTGACTCCAAATCCAGACCTCCATGGGTTGATAAATTTGATTTCCATTGATAATTTTTGTGTGATTTTGTTGTCAGCACATTCAACTATGTAAAGAAAAAAGTATTTAATAAGATTATTTCATTCATTCAGATCTAGGATGTGTTATTTTAGTGTTCCCTTTATGTTTTTTGAGCAGTGTATATAAACTATTGGAACCAAGATTTAAAAATAACTGATGTTGGCACAAGATGGAGGGAAAGATGTAGTATAAGTAACGAAATTACAGTTAACGAAAATGTATGCTTAATCCAGCATAAACTAATGCATAGAATTTATGATACAAGAGAAAAATTCACTAATTTTACAGCACAACTGCAGAGTCATGTCTCAAGTGCAAAACAAATAATTACTCAATAATCCATGCTTTCTGTGAACGCTATAATGTCCGGAAGTTGTGGGCGGAGCTAGAAAGTTGACTGTCAGAAGTATTAGAATGTAAACCTACATTTAATCCGTCTGTCTGCATATTACAAGACATGACATATGGGGGTGTAGTGAGATACCCGATGGGATGGACGATACTTTTCTCATCACTCGTCTTGAAAAAACGTACAGGGCATTCGGAAAGTATTCAGACCCCTTCCCTTTTTCCACATTTTGTTACGTTACAGCCTTATTCTAAAATGGATTAAATTAAATTGTTTCCTCATCAACCTTCACATAATACCCCATAATGACAAAGTGAAAACAGGTTTTTAGACATTTTTGCTAATTTATTACAAATAACAAACAGAAATATCTTATTTACATAAGTATTCAGACCCTTTGCTATGAGACTCGAAATTAAACTCTTGATTGGCGTCCACCTGTGGTAAATTCAATTGATTAGACATGATTTGGAAAGGCAGACACCTGTCTATATAAGGTCCCACAGTTGACAGTGCATATCAGAGCAAAAATACAAGCCAGTCGAAGGAATTGTTCGTAGTGCTCCGAGACAGGATTGTGTCGAGGCACAGATCTGGGGAAGGGTACCAAAAAATGTCTGCAGCATTGAAGGTCCCCAAGAACACAGTGGCCTCCATCTTTCTTAAATGGAAGAAGTTTGGAACCACCAAGACTCTTCCTAAAGCTGGCCGCTCGGCCAAACTGAGCAATCGGGGGAGAAGGGCCTTTGTCAGGGAGGTGACCAAGAACCCGATGGTCACTCTGACAGAGCTCCAGAGGTCCTCTGTGGAGATGGGAGAACCTTCCAGAAGGACAACCATCTCTGCAGCACTCTACCAATCAGGCCTTTATGGTAGTGGCCAGACGGAAGCCACTCCTCAGTAAAAGGAGTTTGCCAAAGTCACCTAAACGACTCTCTGACCATGAGAAACAAGATTCTCTGGTCTGATGAAACCAAGATTAAACTCTTTGGCCTGAATGCCAAGCGTCACTTCTAGAGGAAACCTGGCACCATCCCTACTGTGAAGCATGGTGGTGGCAGCATCATGCTGTGGGGATGCTTTTCAGGGGCAGGGACTGGGAGACTAGTCAGGATCAAGGGAAAGATGAACGGAGCAATGTACAGAGAGATCATTGATGAAAACCTGCTCCGGAGCACTCAGGACCTCAGACTGGGGTGGAAATTCACCTTCCAACAGGACAACAACCCTAAGCACACAGCCAAGACAACGCAGGAGTGGCTTCGGGACAAGTCTCTGAATGTCCTTGAGAGGCCGGACTTGAACCGATTGAACATCTCTGGAGACCTGAAAATAGCTGCGCAGCTGTGCAGCGACGCTCCCCATCCAACCTGACAGAGAATAGTGTCATACCCAAGAAGACTCGAGGCTGTAATCGCTGCCAAAGGTGCTTCAACAAAGTACTGAGTAAAGGGTCTGAATACTTATGTAAATGTGCTATTTCCGTTTTTTATTTGTAATACATTTGAAAAAAAAATATTTAAAAAAATAAGGCTGTAATGTAACAAAATGTGGAAAAAGTCAAGGGGTCTGAATACTTTCCGAATGCACTGTATACTAAAAACTTCGAAGTCAATCACTCCGCCATCGTTGACACGGAAAAATCTAATGATTAAAATATTGAAATAGCATGGGCGACCGAGAAAAACAAATTAGTACAATTTAAGGCCATGTGGCAAACAATAATGCAGGCAGTGGGGATGGGAGTGTGAGCATGTGGGTCTGGGCAGAGGAGATGTAGCCATTATTTGTGTGTCTGTAAGTTGTTGTTCAAATGTATATGTTTGTTTTTGTAATGTAAAAATAAAAAAACCAATATAGAAAGTTTTATGAAAATAATTAATGCACAGTCGGCACTTGCATGGGAATTGTTCATATAATTATAATTAACTAATTCATGATATTTGTATCATTCAGGTGTTTGGAAGTAAATAAATAAATAAGGAAAAATAATGTTCAAATCTTTATTGTCCATTAAAAATAATGACAAAAATTCTCCATCATGAGAATTACTGTAGGCCTAGCGGCATTATGCCTTCTCCCTACAGTTTTCAGCCATTAGCTTCGCCCATGACTGGCTTATGTGAACTGTTTTAAGGTTTAGAAATGTCAATAATTTTTTATTATTATTTTTTATTATTTTTTTATTTCACCTTTATTTAACCAGGTAAGCCAGTTGAGAACAAGTTCTCATTTACAACTGCGACCTGGCCAAGATAAAGCAAAGTAGTGCGATAAAAACAACAAAACACAGTTACATATGGGGTAAAACAAAACATAAAGTCAAAAATACAATAGAAAATATATATATACAGTGTGTGCAAATGTAGCAAGTTATGGAGGTAATGCAATAAATAGGCCATAGTGCAAAAATAATTACAATTAGTATTAACACTGGAATGATAGATGTGCAAGAGATGATGTGCAAATAATCATCGCTTGCAATATGGCTTTCGAAAGACAGCCCTTCTTCGGTCTTTCATCCGCGAGAAATAATCCTTCAAATAAAAAAAGACAGACACTTGCTGTAGTTTTTATGCACAGATCCAAAACAGCTATTGTGCCTCCATCTGACCAACTACACTTCCTGAGTTACGCTTACACACAGGTGTTTTTATTATTATTTGTATTTATTTAACCTTTAAGTTAGGCAAGTCAGTTAAGAATAAATTAGTATTTACAATGACGGCTTACCAAAAGGCAAAAGGCCTCCTGCGGGGACGGGGGTTAAAAAATAAAATAAAAATATAGGACAAAACACACATCATGACAAGAGAGACACCACAACACTACATAAAGAGAGACCTAAGACAACAACATAGCATGGCAGCAACACATGACACTAAAGCATGGTAGCAACACAACATGGTAGCAGCACAAAACATGGTACAAACATCATGGGGCACAATAATTGGGCGTTCGGAGCATGCTAGATAGCTTATTAGCACCTCTTGTCTTCCCTCTGTTTTCCGTAAACAAGCGCTGTAACATCAAGATATGGCCATGTGGGAACACTAACCCTAACCCCTATTATATTTGTTGCTGATATGAAAGATATGGTCTTTATGCTTCCAAAACCATATCGCAAATAATGCGTGTTAATGTTCAGATTGAGCGTCATGCCTCTTACCAAATCTCCCCTGTACAAAAGATGTGTAAGGTAATGGAACTGAGAGTCATGATCAAGGGCTACTGTAGGCCTATACTGATAATTCTACATAGGTAGCCTATATTTCTGATTCTGTCTAGGTTCTGCCTTGCTGAATAATCACAATACTGGTATGATGACAATACCTAGCAGAGGAATGTGGTTTATCTGATCGGACTGTGAATCTGATGCCCTTTCAGGATGGGGCTGAGATGCCTTCTCAATCTGTTTGCGTCCTGCACTGGCTCAGCATTGTGCAAAAAAATACATTTGACACATTTTTTGTATATATTTTTTATTTTACATAATTTTATATCTATAATCAATATTAACCATACATGTATCTATTTGACCTGCTATGTATTCAGAAACATAGGACTTCATGATATTCAATTTCCCACCCAGCACTGCACTCTTTTGTTGTACTCTCACGCTACCGTGCGAGATCCAGCCCCGACTGCGCGGTCGCAATATGCCTCAACTTGTCCCCTCCCCCGCGGACTGCCTGGCTTGAGATGAGTGGAAGATGTCGGTTTCGGGTCTGAAGGCCGAATTGAAGTTTTTGGAGTCAATTTTTGACCCAAACCACGAACGTTTCAGAATTATTGATTGGAAGCCTGATGAGCTTAGTTGTCAGTTTAATGTAACCGGTGAAAAACTCCTGATTATACATTGCAACATCACGGTAAGAAAGAAGCTAACGTTAGCTAGCCAACTAGCCAGTTAGCACAGGACAAGCGATAAACATGACGAATTTGGAATTTTAAACGCGAACACATAATTTGTGTTACAAATCAGCTAGCTAACTAGATAAATAAAATATAAATGTGTTCAGACTTCAGTTTGTTAATACTTTATTATCGGGCCATATGTCCAGCTATAGTTAGCTATGCTAGTTAGAAACAAGAAACAAGCTCATATATGTGTAAGTTAAACGTTAGTTGGTTGTTATAGGCTAGCTAGCTAATGCGTCTAAAAAAAAAACTCCAGAAAATACATTTGACCCCCAGCCAACCTATAAAAGGTAGCTAGCTAGCGGTTAATTGTAGCTTATTTTGCTTATACAATAACACAAGGTAACGTGACCTGTGAACACAATTGCTGTCTAACGCAGAATAGTCCTGTGTGAAAATGGTTGTTGGTATTAGCTAGGTAGCTAATTGATGTCGTAACAACTCGGATGAGCTGGCCATAAGCTACCCGCCAACAAATAAAACATCACGACATAATATTACAAGTCGGCACGTGACGTCGTGATTAGATGGTTAGTACGTGGTGTATAGCTGTGGATGTTTCTTAATGTGATCTATCATTCCTTTATTCTGAAGTAGTTCCAACTACTAAGCTAGCTACCTGGCTAATCAAATCAAATAGTATTGGCCGTGTGTACTTATTTTGCAGATGTTATCGCAGGTGCAGCGAAAATGTTTGTTTCTTTTATTTATTTATTTCACCTTTATTTAACCAGGTAAGCCAGTTGAGAACAAGTTCTCATTTACAACTGCGACCTGGCCAAGATAAAGCAAAGCAGTGCGATAAAAACAACAACACAGAGTTACATATGGGGTAAAAAAACATAAAGTCAAAATAAATAAATAATTGTTTCTACCAAACAATACAAACAAATCCAAAGAATAAAAATAAATAAATGTAAGAAATATCAGTTAACTAGTTATTTCTGTTTTGTAGATTTAGCTACACTGAACAAAAAATATAGATGCAACATGTAAAGTGTTGGTCCCATGTTTCATGAGCTGAAATAAAAAATCCCAGACACACAAAAAGGCTGTTTCACTCAAATGTTACGCACAAATTTGTTTACATCCCTTTTAGTGAGCATTTATCCTTTGCCAAGATAATACAGCCAACTAACAAGTGTTGCATATCAAGAAGCTGATTAAACAGCATGATCATTACACAGGTGCACCTTGTGCTGGGGACAATAAATGGCCACTCTAAAATGTGCAGTTTTGTCACACCACCCAATGCCACCGATGTCTCAAGTTTTGAGGGAGCGTGCAATTTGCATGCTGACTGCAGGAATGTTCACCAGAGCTGTTGCCAGATAATTTAATGTTAATTTCTCTACCGTAAGCCGCCTCCAACATCATTTTAGAGATTTTGACAGTATGTCTAACTGGCCTCACAAACACAGACCACATGTAACCATGCTAGCCCAGGACATCCACATCCGGCTTCTTCACCTGCGGGATCTTCTGAGACCAGCCACCCGGACAGCTGATGAAACTGTGGGTTTGCACAACCAATTAATTTCTGCACAAACTGTCTCAGGGAAGCTCATCTGCGTGCTCATCGTCCTCACCAGGGTCTTGACCTGACTGCAGTTCGGTGTCGTAACCGACTAAAGTGGGCAAATGCCCACCTTCGATGGCCAATGGCACGCTGGAGAAGTGTGCTATTCGCAGATAGCAGACAGCGTCGTGTATGGCATTGTGTGGGTGAGCGGTTAGCTGATGTCAACGTTGTGAACAGTGCCCCGCGGTGTGGTTATGGTATGGGCAGGTACAAGCTACGGACAACGAACACAATTGCATTTTATTGATGGCAATTTGAATGCACATAGCTACCGTGACGAGATCCTGAGGCCCATTGTTGTGCCATTCATCCATCGCCATCACCTCATGATTCAGCATGATAATGCACGGCCTCATGTTTCAAGGATCTGTACACAGTTCCTGGAAGCTGAAAAGGTCACGTTTCTTCCATGGCCTGCATACTCACCAGACGTGACCCCATTGATCATGTGTGGGATGCTCTGGATAGACGTGTACGACAACGTGTTCCAGTTCCCGCCAACATCCATCAACTTCACACAGCCATTAAAGAGTGGGACAACATTCAACAGGCCACAATCAACAGCCTGATCAACTCTATGCGAAAGAGTTGTCGTGCTGCATGAGGCAAATGGTGGTCAAACCAGATACTGACTGGTTTTCTGAACCAAGCCTACTTTTGTTTATAAAGGTATTTGTAACCAACAGATTCATATCTGTATTTCCAGTCATGTGAAATCCATAGATTAGGGCCTAATTAATTCATTTCAATTGACTGATTTCCTTATATGAACTGTAACTCAATAAAATCGTTTAAATTGTTGCGTTTTATATTTTGGTTCAGTGTAGATAGCTAGCTAGATCGCGTGTCAGTTCAGCGCTGTTCCGTTAGAGCTTTTCCTAGTAATGAGTGTACTCCTGAGTGGCGCAGTGGTCTAAGGCACTGCACCGCAGTGCTAACTGTGCCACTAGAGATCCTGGTTCGAATCCAGGCTCTGTCGCAGCCGGCCGCGACCGGGAGACTCATGGGCGGCGCACAATTGGCCCAGCGTCGTCCATGGTAGGGGAGGGAATGGCCGGCAGGGATGTAGCTCAGTTGATAGAGCATGGCGTTTGCAACGCCAGGGTTGTGGGTTCGTTTCCCATGGGGGGCCAGTATAAAAAAATATGTATTCACTAACTGTAAGTCGCTCTGGATAAGAGCGTCTGCTAAATGACTAAAATGTAAATGTAATGATGTGATCAACTGATCACCACCCCTCTCTCCCCCCCCCCCCTTTCTGTCTCCCAGGAGTCATACCCCTCTATACCCCCTATCTGGTTTGTTGACTCTGACGACCCAAGTCTGACAGAGGTGTTGGAGCGCCTGGAAGATGTCAGAAAGGGCACCTCTTTGGTAAGTCACTCACCTGTGTGTGTATAGACTGGACTTTTCTTCCTTATTTACACCAACACAATGTGCTGCACAGGATGTAGTTACCAGCTCTCATGGAAGGCAAATGCCCTAATACCACCTACAAAATTGGTTGCTAAGAAAGTATTCACACCCCCTTGACTTTTTCCACATTTTGTGTTACAGCCTGAATATAAAATGAATTAAATTGAGATTTTGTGCCAGTGATCTACACACAATGTCCGACAATGTCGAAGTGGAATTTTGTTAGTAGAGAGTTTTACAAATTATTAAATGTATTAGTATTCAACCCCTTTGTTATGGCAAGCCTAAATACGTTTGGGAGTAAAAATGTGCTTTAAGTTGCGTGGACTCACTCTGTGTTCAATAATAGTGGTTAACCCTTTGGACCCAAATAGAATTCTAGAATGCCGCTGTAGATGACTGAGAATTCAAGATAAAACAAATTTTCTCACACATTTCAAACAAACAGACATAGCTCAAAAACAAAGAACAAATTAAAATTACAAGTCAATTTACTTTTAAAGAGCACAATCTCTTCTTTAATATGACACCACATTCATGGCAATAGGAATAACACTCATTTTGTCTTACGTTGTGTAAAGACACTATCAAAAAGCGATTAACACTCAACAAAAAAAACCTGCCGTATTTAAATTGTAGTAAATTTGACTAAATTACTCACTCAGAATGTACCAAGTATAATATATTATTTACATATAAATAAATACAATTATCCAAAATGTGACCATATTCAGGAAGTATTTCAAAACCCGCACATAGTAGGCTATTTGATTGACGACGATTCTTACTAATTTACAAATTCAGAGACTATTTCAAAATGTAGGCAACCTCTCTCAATAAGATTTTAGTACCAGGCCTGACACAAAATGTAGAAATAGTAGCCTACTTTGACAACAACTCAGTGAATGCAACAAGTATTAGATAGAAACAGAGACAAGATACAAAACAACTGTTCAGAGACAATCAAAGATTTGTAGGACAGATTCCTATTTCACACTGTCACTTCAGTATTTGGAATTAGCCTACAACATTGCATGGAACTTTCTGGAAACATTGCCCAATCGTGCAAAGTGGCACGGAACACGTAGAGCACCCAAGGGAGGTTTCTACACATCTCCCACTTTTTTTTCCCCCTGTGTCCACTCCGGATGCACACCACACAACCCTCTCTTGCGCCCTTCAAACTTCACCTGCTTTCAAATGAGTTACAACTCGCTCCACATGCACTGGTGCCACACTCTTGGCTCCCCTCTTCCTGCCACTGTAGCCATATCACAAAGTGAATGCACAAGCTGCATTTTGAATGCCTTCAGGGACCAGCGCCTGCAGTTTCTGGGAAGGGGCCTTTGCAGGGTCCCCCACACAATGTATGCATTTATGATGGAAATGTTGAGCATCCCCGAAAACACACACATTTCTAAATTTTCTGCCTGTGTGTCCAACATTGTAATAGCTCCTCAGTTGGTCAAGATGGTCAATCCCGCCCATTTTCTTGTTGTAATCCATTACAAGCTCTGGAACAGATAAGTTCCGACCACTTTTAAAAACAACTCCAAAGCCACTGTCACTTTAGGCCCAGGCTGTGTGGCACAATGGTGAATGGTGGGACTTGAGGCAGACACACTCCATGGAAACGTAGGCCCCCCCCCCATCTCGTGTGTGCTCACCCGCTTCCCCTCCCTCTGGTTCCTCCCCTCCCTCTGGTTCCTCCCCTCCCTCTGGTTCCTCCCCTCCCTCTGCTTCCTCCCCTCCCTCTGGTTCCTCCCCTCCCTCTGGTTCCTCCCCTCCCTCTGGTTCCTCCCCTCTCTCTGCTTCCTCCCCTCCCTCTGGTTCCTCCCCTCCCTCTGCTTCCTCCCCTCCCTCTGGTTCCTCCCCTCCCTCTGGTTCCTCCCCTCCCTCTGCTTCCTCCCCTCCCTCTGGTTCCTCTCTCTCTCTGGTTCCTCCCCTCCCTCTGCTTCCTCCCCTCCCTCTGGTTCCTCCCCTCCCTCTGGTTCCTCCCCTCTCTCTGGTTCCTCCCCTCCCTCTGCTTCCTCCCCTCCCTCTGCTTCCTCCCTTCCCTCTGCTTCCTCCCCTCCCTCTGCTTCCTCCCCTCTCTCTGCTTCCTCCCCTCCCTCTGCTTCCTCCCTTCCCTCTGCTTCCTCCCCTCCCTCTGCTTCCTCCCCTCCCTCTGCTTCCTCCCCTCTCTCTGGTTCCTCCCCTCCCTCTGCTTCCTCCCCTCTTTCTGGTTCCTCCCCTCTCTCTGGTTCCTCCCCTCCCTCTGCTTCCTCCCCTCCCTCTGGTTCCTCCCCTCCCTCTGCTTCCTCCCCTCCCTCTGCTTCCTCCCCTCCCTCTGCTTCCTCCCCTCCCTTTGGTTCTTCCCCTCTCTCTGCTTCCGCCCTCTCTCTGCTTCCGCCCTCTCTCTGCTTCCGCCCCTCCCTCTGGTTCCTCCCCTCCCTCTGGTTCCTCCCCTCCCTCTGGTTCCTCCCCTCCCTCTGGTTCCTCCCCTCCCTCTGGTCCTCCCCTCCCTCTGCTTCCTCCCCTCCCTCTGGTTCCTCCCCTCCCTCTGGTTCCTCCCCTCTCTCTGGTTCCTCCCCTCCCTCTGCTTCCTCCCCTCCCTCTGCTTCCTCCCCTCCATGTTCCTCTCCCTCTTTACTCCTCTTCCTCTCTCCCGCCATTCTCCTCTTCCTCTCTCCCACCATTCTCCTCTCGCTCCACATCTCTATTCCTCTAATCATCTCTAACTCCTCTTCCTCCCTGCCCTTTGGTGCCTCTCCACATCACTTCCCTCACTTTCACTGACCTAGAGGAACTGAGTAACAGGGGAGAGGAGAGGAGCAACAAATAGGATACAATTGTGGTGAGGAACATAATCTCTCTTCCTCTGTTTGTAATGCATGGATGAATCCTTTGATATGTCAGACAATGTTTAGGAGCTGAGCTGCTGTAGTAAGAGTGGTTGAATTCAGCATTTTTGCCCGACACAATGGCTTTAGTGTTTTGGCTGTACAGATATAAATACATGTTTTGTGAATTACACCTGATGGTATTTTCCTGTAGCTTGGAGAATGAAGAGGGAGAGGGACACATTCAAACTGCCGACCCTGGGCCTGGCTCTCACTCAGTTAAACAGATTGAGTGAGTTTGGCATTGAATTATGGGTAAAAAAAAGCACTATTAGATGTTATCCAAGTGCCTGGGTCATCTGGCTACTAGGACCAGACTGGACACAGCCTCTGTACTAGGACCAGACTGGACACAGCCTCTACTAGGACCAGACTGGACACAGCCTCTACTAGGACCAGACTGGACACAGCCTCTGTACTAGCAGATGGACCAGACTGGACACAGCCTCTGTACTAGGACCAGACTGGACACAGCCTCTGTACTAGGACCAGACTGGACACAGCCTCTAATTGCGATATTCGGTACATGGTTTCTGCGTCTGTGTTGACAGAGATTTGGACAAACTTTCTGGCGATGTGGTTATTTCTCTCTTCCTTCCTCATTCTTTTTTCTCAACCAAACACATACTCTCTTCCTAAAAAGGGGTTTCCATAATAAATTGTGATACAGTCACACGCCTCCCATTCCCCACACACTCTCACTCTCTCCTCCAATCAACTCTTGTTTTCTTGACTGACAGACTAACTACAGAGTTCGCCAATGTTAGCCGATTAGTTACGAATCTGGGACAGTCTCCAAATGAATTGTGTCGGTAGAAACTGGACAAAACAAGCAACTTGTTAGCTGGCTATGTAAACACATATCCAACTCATCATATGAAATCCACTGCGCGGGCATCTACTACCCAAACACGCCAGCCAAGCTGTCAAATAATAGGAAAACAAAGCGAGGGGAAAAAACTTATTTGATCCCCTGCTGATTTTGTACGTTTGCCCACTGACAAAGACCTGATCAGTCTATAATTTTAATGGTAGGTTTATTTGAACAGTGAGAGACAGAATAACAACAAAAAAATCCAGAAAAATGCATGTCAAAAATGTTATAAATTGATTTGCATTTTAATGAGGGAAATAAGTATTTGACCCCTCTGCAAAACATGACTTAGTACTTGGTGGCAAAACCCTTGTTGGCAATCACAGAGGTCAGACGTTTCTTGTAGTTGGCCACCAGGTTTGAACACATCTCTGGAAGAATTTTGTCCCACTCCTCTTTGCAGATCTTCTCCAAGTCATTAAGGTTTCGAGGCTGACGTTTGGCAACTCGAACCTTCAGCTCCCTCCACAGATTTTCTATGGGATTAAGGTCTGGAGACTGGCTAGGCCACCCCAGGACCTTAATGTGCTTCTTCTTGAGCCACTCCTTTGTTGCCTTGGCCGTGTGTTTTGGGTCATTGTCATGCTGGAATACCCATCCACGACCCATTTTCAATGCCCTGGCTGAGGGAAGGAGGATCTCACCCAAGATTTGACGGTACATGGCCCCGTCCATCGTCCCTTTGATGCGGTGAAGTTGTCCTGTCCCCTTAGCAGAAAAACACCCCCAAAGCATAATGTTTCCACCTCCATGTTTGACGGTGGGGATGGTGTTCTTGGGGTCATAGGCAGCATTTCTCCTCCTCCAAACACGGCGAGTTGAGTTGATGCCAAAGAGCTCAATTTTGGTCTCATCTGACCACAACACTTTCACCCAGTTCTCCTCTGAATCATTCAGATGTTCATTGGCAAACTTCAGACGGGTCTGTATATGTGCTTTCTTGAGCAGGGGGACCTTGCGGGCGCTGCAGGATTTCAGTCCTTCACGGCGTAGTGTGTTACCAATTGTTTTCTTGGTGACTGTGGTCCCAGCTGCCTTGAGATCATTGACAAGATCCTCCCGTGTAGTTCTGGGCTGATTCCTCACCGTTCTCATGATCATTGCAACTCCACGAGGTGAGATCTTGCATGGAGCCCCAGGCCAAGGGAGATTGACAGTTATTTTGTGTTTCTTCCATTTGCGAATAATTGCACCAACTATTGTCACCTTCTCACCAAGCTAATTGGCGATGGTCTTGTAGCCCATTCCAGCCTTGTGTAGGTCTACAATCTTGTCCCTGACATCCTTGGAGAGCTCTTTAGTCTTGGCCATGGTGGAGAGTTTGGAATCTGATTGATTGATTGCTTCTGTGGACAGGTGTCTTTTATACAGGTAACAAGATGAGATTAGGAGCACTCCCTTTAAGAGTGTGCTCCTAATATCAGCTCGTTACCTGTATAAAAGACACCTGGGAGCCAGAAATCTTTCTGATTGAGAGGGGGTCAAATACTTATTTCCCTCATTAAAATGCAAATCAATTTATAACATTTTTGACATGCGTTTTTCTGGATTTTTTTAGTTGAATTTTTGTCTCTCACTGTTCAAATAAACCTACCATTAAAATTATAGACTGATCATTTCTTTGTCAGTGGGCAAACGTACAAAATCAGCAGGGGATCAAATACTTTTTTCCCTCACTGTATATACAGTGGGGAGAACAAGTATTTGATACACTGCCGATTTTGCAGGTTTTCCTACTTACAAAGCATGTAGAGGTCTGTAATTTTTATCATAGGTACACTTCAACTGTGAGAGACGGAATAAAAAAAAATCCAGAAAATCACATTTGTATGATTTTTAAGTAATTCATTTGGATTTTATTGCATGACATAAGTACAGTGGGGGAAAAAAGTATTTAGTCAGCCACCAATTGTGCAAGTTCTCCCACTTAAAAAGATGAGAGAGGCCTGTAATTCTCATCATAGGTACACGTCAACTATGGCAGACAAAATGAGAATTTATTTTCTCCAGAAAATCACATTGGGCCAAAATACCAGCAACAGTGTGTGAAAACCTTGTGAAGACTTACAGAAAACGTTTGACCTGTGTCATTGCCAACAAAGGGTATATAACAAAGTATTGAGAAACTTTTGTTATTGACCAAATACTTATTTTCCACCATAATTTGCTAATAAATTCATTAAAAATCCTACAATGTGATTTTCTGGAAAAAAAATTCTCATTTTGTCTGCCATAGTTGACGTGTACCTATGATGAAAATTACAGGCCTCTCTCATCTTTTTAAGTGGGAGAACTTGCACAATTGGTGGCTGACTAAATAATTTTTTCCTCCGCTGTATATGATACATCAGAAAAGCAGAACTAAATATTTGGTACAGAATCCTTTGTTTGCAATTACAGAGATTATACGTTTCCTGTAGGTCTTGACCAGGTTTGCACAAACTGCAACAGGGATTTTGGCCCACTCCTCCATACAGACCTTCTCCCGATCCTTCAGGTTTCGGGGCTGTCGCTGGGCAATAAGGACTTTCAGCTCCCTCCAAAGATTTTCTATTGGGTTCAGGTCTGGAGACTGGCTAGGCCACTCCAGGACCTTGAGATGCTTCTTACGGAGCCACTCCTTAGTTGCCCTGGCTGTGTGTTTCGGGTTGTTGTCATGCTGGAAGACCCAGCCACGACCCATCTTCAATGCTCTTACTGAGGGAAGGAGGTTGTTGGCCAAGATCTCGCGATACATGGCCCCATCCATCCTCCCCTCAATACGGTGCAGTCGTCCTGTCCTCTTTGCAGAAAAGCATCCCCAAAGAATGATGTTTCCACCTCCATGCTTCACGGTTGGGATGGTGTTCTTGGGGTTGTACTCATCCTTCTTCTTCCTCCAAACACGGCGAGTGGAGTTTAGACCAAAAAGCTATATTTTTGTCTCATCAGACCACATGACCTTCTCCCATTCCTCCTCTGGATCATCCAGATGGTCATTGGCAAACTTCAGACGGGCCTGGACATGCGCTGGCTTGAGCAGGGGGACCTTGCGTGCGCTGCAGGATTTTAATCCATGAAGGCGTAGTGTGTTACTAATGGTTTTCTTTGAGACTGTGGTCCCAGCTCTCTTCAGGTCATTGACCAGGTCCTGCCGTGTAGTTCTGGGCTGATCCCTCACCTTCCTCATGATCATTGATGCCCCACGAGGTGAGATCTTGCTTGGAGCCCCAGACCGAGGGTGATTGACCGTCATCTTGAACTTCTTCCATTTTCTAATAATTGCGCCAACAGTTGTTGCCCTCTCACCAAGCTGCTTGCCTATTGTCCTGTAGCCCATCCCAGCCTTGTTGTGAGTTGTTAGATACTACTGCTCTGTTGGAGCTAGGGAAGGGAACGGGGGATACCAAGTCAGTTGTACAACTAAATGCATTCAACTAAAATGTCTTCTGCATTTAACCCAACCCCTCTGAATCAGCGAGGTGTGGAGGGCTGCCTTAATCAGAAACACAAGCATTTCGCTACATCCACAATAACATCAGCTAAATATGTGTATGCGACCAATAAAATTTGATTTGATCAACAACTAACTTGACAGAGCTTGAGGAGTTTAAAAAAGAATGTGCAAATATTGTACAGTTCAGGTGTACAAAGCTCTTAGAGAATTTACCCAGAAAAACTCAAGGTGATTCTAACATGTATTGACTCGGTTTAATTCTTATCTAATGAAGATATATTAGTTATTATTTTTCATTAATCTTTAAATAATGTTTTTTGTAGATCATTAAAAAAAGACAACTAAATCCAGTATAATCCCAATTTGTTACACAACAAAATGTGGAAAAAGTCGAGGGGTGTGTATACTTTCTGAAGGCACCGTATATGCCATTTTAGCAGATGCTTCTATCCAAAGCGACTTAGTCATGCGTGGATACATTTTATTCGTATGGGTGACCCCAGCGGGAATGGAACCCATGACTGCGCCACATAGAACACTGACTCTGGCTCTCATGGAAATCATAGTACCTCCTTCGAAATTGGTTGATAAGTTACAGTAAAGAGATGGTGGTATTGTATTATTGTAAAAAAAAGGTTCAGAGATACTGTAGAATGACAGTTGACCTGTTTTTTTTGTTTGTTTCCCCAGCTCCTACAGCAGCTGAAGCGTCTCATCTGTGACCTGTGTCGGCTGTACAACCTGCCCCAGCACCCAGATGTTGAGATGCTAGATCAGCCACTCCCTGCTGGGCCCATCAACCCAGAGCGCAAGGTAGGGCTCATTCTAACACACACACATTTATATATGGTGGACCCCACAGTTTAAAATCAGTAAATATTCAGTTGGTTTGAATAACATTTTTAGATGCGAATAAGGTTATCTAGAAATATGTATTAGATTTAAATCTAAATATAGTGATTCACGGATGGGGACAGCCCTAACGCTGGGCCTATGTAACATTCCATACCCCATTGATACAATCAGAAAGGCATAAAACAAAATAAAACAATGAATCCACTCTCCCTTATAGCATGGACCAGCGGATGAAGTGACATCCGAGGAGGAGGAGGAAGAAGAAATGGGCGAGGTGTGTGCGTCTACGTTTACCTTCCTATGTACTAGGGTTGGCCGATTTTACGATTGCATCATCTATCGTCGATGGTGACGACATCGTGATGTCACAAACATGGTTTAGCATATTTGAATTTGACTGCTCCTCCGGTGTCTCGCAGCACAATAGCACAGCGCAGTTCTGCACACAGCAGGGTGACGTGCCAAATGGCCTATTTGCCATAGCCTACATTTTCAATACATACACTGCCTTCAGAAAGTGTTCATAAGCCTTGACTTATTCCACATTTTGTTGTTACAGCCTGAATTCTAAATGAATACAATCAAAATATTTCTGACCCATCTACACACTACCCCATAAGAGTGTTTTTAGACATTTTTGCAAATTTATTGAAAATGAAATACAGAAATATCTCATTTACGTAAGTATTCACACCCCTGAATCAATACTTTGTAGGAGCACCATTGGCAGCGATTACAGCTGTGAGTCTTTCTGGGTAAATTCTCTAAGCGCTTTGCACACATGGATTGTATAATATTTGCACATTATTCTTTAAATAATTATTCTAGCTCTGTCAAGTTGGTTGTTGATCATTGCTAGACAGCCATTTTCAAGTCTTGCCGTACATTTAAGCCGATTGTCCTGCTAAAAAGGTGATTTTGTCTCCCGTTGTCTGTTGGAAAGCAGACTGAACCAGGTTTTCCTCTAGGATTGTGCCTGTGATTAGCTCTATTCTGTTTCTTTTTATCCTAAGAACTCCCTAGTCCTTGCCAATAGCAAGCATACACATAACATGATGCAGCCACCACCATGCTTGAAAATATGAAGTGGTACTCAGTGATGTGTTGTGTTGGATTTGCCCCAAACATAATGCTTTGTATTCAGGACATAAAGTTAATTTCTTTGCCACATTATTTTTGCAGTTTTACTTTAGTGCCTTATTGCAAACAGGATGCATGCTTTGGAATATTTTTATTCTGTACAGGCTTCCTTCTTTTCACTCTGTCAATTAGGTTTGTATTGTGGAGTACCTACAATGTTGTTGATCCATCCTCAGTTTTCTCCTATCACAGCCATTAAACTCTTAAATGTTTTAAAATCACCATTGGCCTCATGATGAAATCCCTGAGCGGTTTCCTTCCTCTCCGGCAACTGAGTTAGGAAGGACGCCTATATCTGATTTTGTAGTGACTGGGTGTATTGATACACCATCCAAAGTGTAATTAATAACTTAACCATGCTCAAATGGATATTCAGTGTCTGCTTTTTTTTTTTCTTTTTACCCATGTGTCGAATGTAGAGATGAGGTAGTCATTCAGAAATCATGTTAAGATCTATTATTGCACACAGTTATCCCATGCAATTTATGTGACTTGTTAAGCGTATTTTTACCCCTGAGCTTATTTAAGCTTGCCATAACAAAGGGGTTGAATACTTATTGACTCAGCTTTTTATTTGTATTTAAGTTCTAAAAATGTTAAAAACATAATTCCACTTTGACATTATGGGGTATTGTGTGTAGGCCAGTGACACAATCTCAATTTAATGAATTTCATATTCTGGCTGTAACACAACAAAATGTGGAAAAGTCAAGGGATGTGAATACTTTCTGAATGCACTGTATATGGTAGACTTTTAATAACATAATGCAAGAGAACAATATAGATTGTAGAAAGAGCGGAGAGCACCAAAATAAGTGAAAAAGGTCCGATTTTCCTTCTTCTCTCCAACGTCTGATGATCACAGACCTTTTGCAGCGGACTCTCCGCGTTCTGGCTTACTGTTTTAAATTCTTCATTTCCCTTTTTCTCCCTAATCCTCATTCGATTTGAATGTGACTTGTTGGCCTAGACATATCCTACTCTTTCATAATCAACCATCGAATGAATCTATGGGCCTAACGAAGTTCCGTCTCAGAAAGTTGTTTGCGAATAGCCTAAATAAAAACATAGTATAGTAATAATGGGAGAGAACAAACGGTTCCAAGACGGACTAATCAAATAGGAAGTTTAAACAAACTTGGTACGTTTTTGCTTTACGTGACCAAAGTGCAGGCAAAATAAATTGTGCCGTCGGAAAATCCCTCCTTGCAAACCAAACAGCCAATAATATAAATATAAATATATATATATATATATATATATATATATATATATATATATATATATATATATATATATATATATATATAAATAAAATATAATAGGAAGTTTAAAAATATATATATATATATATATACAATGCACATAGGCTATTGTCAAAAGTTGCAGTAAATGTTACTTTGACAAGTTAAACTTATAAACTAATATAAAAAATATTGTCTAAATGTTTATTAATGTCCTTGAATTGCGCAACCCGCAGCAGCATGTTCAATAAGCCGAGCTATAAATAAATAAGTGATGAGTCGGTATCGGAGTTGTCTCAAACAACTTTATTTTGAATAGCTGTGTATTTATATAAAACTCAACAACGATCTGATAAAACAAAATATTTATCCTATAGCATTCTTTATAACACTTTAATTAACATTGGCTTGTGCTAAAAATGAAAGGCCTATTGGGATATGCCTTTTGCCTATCGAACTGTACAAATCCTAAATATAGGCCTACAAGTTACAAAACAAAGTAGCCCAAACTAAATAAGTATGAAAATAATATAAATTAGTGCAAAAAACAAACATGTCTTAAGGTTTGACAGAATATTTTTAGCATATCCTATAGGCTTTTTCTTTCATTTACATTTTAGTCATTTAGCAGACGCTCTTATCCAGAGCGACTTACATTTAGTGAGTGCAGGCATATTATTATTTTTTTTTTTTCATACTTTCGAATAAGATGTATCTGTATTTGCAATTAGGAACCATTTAGGTCTAGTGCTTTTTTTTTTTGTACCATGTCTTAAGCCTACCTAAAGGTTTCTGGCAAGGAACACCAGCATGTTCACCTTTTTTGCCCCAGAGTAGCAAACTCTGCAGGATGATGGCCTTGTAAATGTTGACGGAGGTTTGTAGTCTGTCCATCCTGATGATCTGTTTTCCGTATCCTGCAAGTGACTTGGGTCAAGGTCTGCTGGCTCACCTTCATCATTCGGCCTGAAACCGAAGAACTGCCTAACAGGCGAAGACGTGCTTTTCTTTCCCACCAAGTCAGCCATGTTTGTTTTCCCCTGATTTTTTATTTATTTTCACAATCTGAAACTGTCGGAAAGTCGCCTAATGGAAGAATGTCACAAATGCGCTTATCCAGATGATCATGATAAAATAACAATAGCCTACACTTGTTATTGTTATTATATATTATATACACTTGATATTGCTATAATATTCGTTTTTCAAGGTAGGCTAATATAACTGTTATCTAAGTGTTTTTCATGGACAAGAGAAACATAGCCCTACCAATTTGTAAATCATTCTGTAGCCTAGATTAGACCAAATAATAACTAGGTCTAAACACTGTTTAGGCAATGTGTCCTTTTAATATTGTGTTCGACAATTGACCCCTGTCGTCTATTCCCGTCATGTTTTTATTGGAAGATCTGTCATTTAAGACATCACCCTACTATGTACAACGATAATATCAACATTCATCTTAAACTTCTTGTGTGTGTGCTGTATGTAACCTCTTGTGTTTTCTATAATATATTAATATATAATATATGCATTAAAACGGTATATTGTGTTCAGCAGGACATTGAAGACCTGGACCACTATGAGATGAAAGAGGAGGAGCCAGTGGATGGGAAGAAGTCTGAGGACGATGGCATAGAGAAGGTAATTAACGTGTATACACCTCTCGCTCTCTCCCTCTCTCTCGCTCTCTCTCCTGAGTGTACAAAACATTAAGAACACCTGCTCTTTCCGTGACATAGACTGACCAGGTGAAAGGTATGATCCCTTATTGATGTCACTTGTTAAATCCACAGAAGTGTAGATGAAGGGGAGGAGACAGGTGAAAGAAGGATTTTTAAGCCTTGAGACATGGAGTGTGTGTCTGCCATTCAGAGGGTGAATGGGCAAGACAAAAGATTGAAGTGTCTTTGAACGGGGTATGGTAATAGGTGCCAGGCGCACCTGTTTGTGTCAAGAACTGCAACGCTGCTGGGTTTTTCACGTTCAACAGTTTCCCGTGTGTATCAAGAATGGTCCACCACCCAAAGGACATCTAGCCAACTTGACCCAACTGTGGGAAGCGTTGGAGTCAACATGGGCCAGCATCCCTGTGGAATGCTTTTCGACACTTTGGGCAAAAAGGGGTTGGGGGTTGCAACTCAATATTAGGAAGGTGTTCCTAATGTTTGGAATGCTCAGTGTATATACTTGACTTTTATTTTTACCATCTTCCCTAGCCTGGTTGTTTCTGTTCAGCTATTACATTCCACTCCTTGTACTCCGTGTAATTTACCAAAAAGGCCAATAGGGTCTGGCTCCAGCAGATGCTTTCTCAGGACACAGACGCTGTGAGACATACGAGCTCAGACAAGACTGGACTGGCTAGCTAGTGTTGGCAGAACTGAGCAATTTATCCTTAGCTATATTGTAAAACTTAATGAAAATGAACATTACTTTTTGGTTAAGCTTAGGCATTAGGGATAGCAGTGGGGTTAGTGTTAGAATCAGATTTGATGACTTTGCCAGCTAATGAGAGATCGTTAGACCGACACATTCCTCTCTCGCTAGATGCGCAATTAAAGGGGAAATACACTCAAATCTAAATGTGTTTTTCCCCCCCAGATCTTAAAAATGGTCTTCTGATGTGATTTACATGGACTCAGAACATCCATTTTTGTTGTTTCTCTATAAATAATTGTAATATTGAGAGTAAAAAAAGAAACGAGAAATCCCAAACCAGGAAAAGTAAAACAGAATTCAGGAAATACAAAATATAATTTTATGGGGCCCCGTTAGTTAATAATAATAATAATAATAATATGCCATTTAGCAGACGCTTTTATCCAAAGCGACTTAGTCATGCGTGCATACATTTTTTGTGTATGGGTGGTCCCGGGGATCGAACCCACTACCTTGGCGTTACTAGCGCCGTGCTCTACCAGCTGAGCTACAGAGGACCCAATTGTTTATTAAGCATTATTTGACCAGGTATATTTACAGAACACACATCTCTTTTACACCAAGAAACCAGTGAAGAGTTGCAGGGTAGAGGAGAAGAATGTGCTTATTTGAAAGCTATAAAAAAATAAAAATAAATTAAGTAGTTGATTTCGTCCGGTCCAGACGAAACCAGTCTGTCAAAAGTTGCTAGCTCATGTCTAAATCCGCTAGCTAAATACTGCAATTGACCCTTTGCTATCCTGCGCCCCTCCCCCCCCCCTCCCCTTGGTTACTGTTGCAACCTCGGACAACATTTTCCTGGGAAGTCCAGTTTCCCATTCAACCACTGGCAAAGTCCCCTCACAATGATCTCACTGTTTTTAATACATAATGAAAATAAACACTGACTACCCCTTGCTAATCAGGAAACTCTTTGGTATGTTGCGGTGGACTGTCGTTACAATTGCTTCATGGGAACCTGGATAAATTAAGTTTGTAGTGTAGCTAGCCACTGGATGGCTCTGAATCCACTATCTCTATCTCTCTACCTCTATCTCTACCTCTATCTATATCTCTCTACCTCTCTCTACCTCTATCTATCTCTATCTACCTCTATCTACCTCTACCTCTCTCTCTACCTCTATCTCTGTCTATCTCTGTCCGTCTCTCTCTCTCTCTCTCTCTCTCTCTCTCTCTCTCTCTCTCTCTCTCTCTCTCTCTCTCTCTCTCTCTACCTCTATATCTGAATCCACTGTCAGCATGCAGTTAAAGCTATATCCACTTTTGGAGCTAACTAGTGCGCTCATCGTATCCTGATGTTGACAGCAGATGGGAGTTGTATTCATAACATTGCTAACTTAGCTAGCTAACGTACAAGTTATATTAAGTGGCTAGCTAGCATTAGCAACGTTTGGTGGTCAATGAGACTGAGAGCTAGCTAACCAGCTGAGCTAGCAAACAATGTAACAAAAGTGTAATCTCGTATTCGAAAAATACTCCCAACAGGCTCTGCATTTTAGGAATCACAGTAGCAAGTACTCCTGGTGCACTGTTTAATTATTTAGCTATTTATACATTATTTTTGTTGTTGAAGAAAACTCTTTTTGTTTTTGACTTTGTTCTAATTCTATTTTCGAGGCTCCACATGATGTCATGGAAAATATTAATGTTATTTCCAACAACCAATAACCAACTCAGCCATAAATCCAGCTGCGTATTGAATGTTGAGATTGACGAAAGGCCTGTCTCTCTTTTGCAAATGACATGGAGTGGAGTGTTAGACTGGTACCCAGACTACATCTTCCCTGCACGTTTTCTTTTTTTAATGCTTCTTTAAAAAAAATCAGAATACCTTATATACTTTTATTCGCTAAAGTAATTCATAGGAGAAATGTGCAAAGTAAGCATTTCATTATGCTGTGTACACTTTTACTATTGTTTTACTATCTTTAATTTATCTATTTGTAAAAAATTATTCAATTATTATTTAATGAAACACTTCCTACTGCATGTTTTTTCATGTGAAGGAGAACCTGGCCATCCTAGAGAAGATCCGTAAGAACCAGAGGCAGGACCACTTGAACGTAAGTGCTCATTCGGTAAGGTTTCTTTCTTATTTTTCAGGGGGGTAACGGGAACATTTCTGCAGTTTTTTTTATAGTCTCTACGTCTGTTTTTCTCAACCTAGTCCTTAGGGGACCACCAGCCATATTTAATCAATTCCAAAACTAGCTCACCTGATTCAACAAGTTAACCAATCATAAAGCCCATGATTGGCTAAATCAGGTGTGCGAGTGTTGGAATAGATAAAATATGTGGAAGTACGTGTGGTCCTGGAGGACTGGATTGAGAAACAGTGCTCTGTTAGCCTGGTTCTGATCCCTGTGGTGTTACGATGCCTGTTTTCAGGGTGCCGTCTCTGGTTCCGTTCAGGCCTCTGATCGTCTCATGAAAGAACTCAGGGAGATCTACAGATCACAGAGTTACAAGACAGGTCAGTCCTGGCCTGGCTCAGCTTAGGGCTGGGCGATATATCAAATTAATTCAAATTAATGTTTTTGTACGATTTTACCTCTCACGCCAACAAAGTTGAGAGATCACATCTTCCTCTCTGACAAACGGTTTCAACTCGCTATTTGCATTTGAGGTTTGGTCCAACAGAATAGGTCATATGGACACCAAAACACATTGAGACATTATTTTACTGTAATAGAGGAGAAGTTAACTTTTCTAACAATACCATTTTTATGTCTCAACTACTCCATTTGCGCACATAGTAGACATTAATAAAAAAACAAAAGCGTATCAATGAACGATATGATGATATTAATGAACATTGATTCTAGAAAATGAATGCTCAGTTTGTAACGCGCGGCATTGGGGTACCACGTAGCGCTAGCAGCATTTTAGCCAAAGACTGTTATACTAGATCTAGTCTGTGTTTTTATAAATGTGCAATAAGTATGGTTCTAGTTAAATTTGTAACAAAAAAAGGGCATTTTCATAGACTTGAAAGCCAGGTCAGTGAATATTGCAACAAAAAAAAGCAGGTTAAACTATTTTGATAAAATAAATAGATTATTAGTGGGTCCTATGGTTGTGGAAGTCTTATGTTTAGCCTGGGTATAACTTCACAAGCCCTGAATTCATTAGATTATTGCTAACTGTTTGAAATGTAGTGTATTTGACCTTTAATTGTCCAACAACGCTTATTGTGAGAACCCAAAAAAAAAAAATATATATATATATACATTCGTGAAAAAGTAAGTAACACCCCCTGGAAAGTGGCTTTTTTATTTTTTTTGACGTATTTGGACACATGGATATTTCCACCACATTCATTGATAAAGGTAACCCAATTTTAACAAATCACACACAAAAAATTAAACTTAGAAAATGTTATGCAATTAAAATAAACAGAAATGCCTTTTCCTTATGTACACAGCTACCTTTACCATCATATAACATGGGAAAAATTAGAATCAGGTGCACCAAAACAGGTGCAAATGATTAGAAAATCATTAGAGAAACTTAGGAGGGTCCAGCCTTCCATAAAGATTAGAAACTTGGTCTGGTTTGGTCTTAACCATATTGATGTGTGGTAACACATCGTGCCAAGATCAAAATATCTACCCGAGGCCCTCAGAAGAAAGATTATTGATGCCCATGAGTCTGGGAGAGGTTACAAATCTATTTCCAAGCAATTCGAAGTACATCATTCCATTGTCCAACGGCACATCTACAAATGGAAAAAATTCCAGACCACTGGCAATCTACCTAGGACAGGTCATCGCACCAAATTCAGTCCGAGAGCTGACTGAAAGATGCTCATAGAAGTGTCTAAAAACCCCGGGGTAACATCAAGGGATCTACAGGCCTTTCTTGCCATAATCAATGTCGAAGTGCATGAGTCAACTGTCAGAAAGGGACTGCACAAACTTGGCCTGGTCAGGAAGGAAGAAGCCTCTGCTCTCAAAAAAGAATATCAAGACACGACTGACGTTTGCCAGACAACACCTGGGAAAATACCAAATTTACTGAAACAATGTGCTCTGGACAGATGAGTCAAAGGTGGAGTTGTTTGGCCTCAATGTCAGACGCCATGTTTGGCAAAAAGGAAAAACACTGCCTTTGAACAGAAGAACCTCATACCAATTGTAAAGCATGGAGGTGGTGGCATTGTGGTCCTCTGTAGCTCAGTTGGTAGAGCATGGCGCTTGTAACGCCAGGGTAGTGGGTTCGATCCCCGGGACCACCCATACATAAAAATGTATGCACACATGACTGTAAGTCGCTTTGGATAAAAGCGTCTGCTAAATGGCATATTTATATTTATTATGGTTTGGGGTTGCCTCAGGGCCTGGCCAACTTGCCATCATTGAGTCAACCATGAATTCTATGTTGTACCAAATCAAATTTTATTTGCCACATGCGCCGAATACAACAGGTGTAGACATTACCGTGAAATGCTTACTTACAGCCCTTAACCAACAATGCATTTATTTCTTAATAAAAAAGTAAAATAAAACAACAACAAAAAAGTGATGAGAAAAAAAGAGCAGAAGTCAAATAAAATAACAGTAGGGAGGCTATATACAGGGGGGTACCGGTGCAGAGTCAATGTGCGGGGGCACCGGCTAGTTGAGGTAGTTGAGGTAATATGTACATGTGGGTAGAGTTAAAGTGACTATGCATAAATAATTAACAGAGTAGCAGCAGCGTAAAAAGATGGGGTGGGGGTGCAAATAGTTTTGGACCTGGACTTGGCGCTCCGGTACCGCTTGCCGTGCGGTAGCAGAGAGAACAGTCTATGACTAGGGTGGCTGGAATCTTTGACAATTTTGAGGGCCTTCCTCTGATACCGCCTGGTATAGAGGTCCTGGATGGCAGGAAGCTTGGCCCCAGTGATGTACTGGGCCGTACGCACTACCCTCTGTAGTGCCTTGCGGTCGGAGGCCGAGCAGTTGCCATACCAGGCGGTGATGCAACCAGTCAGGATGCTATCGATGGTGCAGCTGTAGAACTTTTTGAGGATCTGAGGACCCATGCCAAATCTTTTCAGTCTCCTGAGGGGGAATAGGCTTTGTCGTGCCCTCTTCACGACTGTCTTGGTGTGTTTGGACCATGATAGTTAGTTGGTGATGTGGACACCAAGGAACTTGAAACTCCCGACCCACTCCACTACAGCCCCGTCGATCATCTCCTTTGTCTTGCTCACGTTGAGGGAGAGGTTGTTGACTCTGACCTACCACTGTTGTGTCGTCAGCAAACTTAATGATGGTGTTGGAGTCGTGCTTGGCCATGCAGTCGTGGGTGAACAGGGAGTACAGGAGGGGACTAAGCATGCATGACTGAGGGCCCCCGATGTGTTGTTGCCTACCCTTACCACCTAGGGGCGGACCGTCAGGAAGTCCAGGATCCAGTTGCAGAGGGAGGTGTTTAGTCCCAGGATCTTAGCTTAGTGATGAGCTTTGAGGGCACTATGGTGTTGAACGCTGAGCTGTAGTCAATGAATAGCATTCTCACGTAGGTGTTCCTCTTGTCCAGGTGGGAAAGGGCAGTGTGGAGTGCAATAGAGATAGCATCATCTGTGGATCTGTTGGGGCAGTATGCAAATTGGAGTGGGTCTAGGGTTTCTGGGATAATAGTGTTGATGTGAGCCATGACCAGCCTTTCAAAGCACTTCATGGCCACAGACGTCAGTGCTACGGGTCGGTAGTCATTTAGGCAGGTTATCTTAGTGTCCTTGGGCACGGGGACTATGGTGGTCTGCTTGAAACATGTTGGTATTACAGACTCAGTCAGGGACATGTTGAGAATGTCGGTGAAGACACTTGCCAGTTGGTCAGCACATGCTCGGAGTACACGTCCTGGTAATCCGTCTGGCCCTGCGGCCTTGTGAATGTTGACCTGCTTAAAAGTCTTACTCACATTGGCTACGGAGAGCGTGATCACATAGTCATCCGGAACAGCTGGTGCTCTCATGCATGCTTCAGTGTTGCTAGCCACGAAGCGAGCATAGAAGTGGTTTAGCTCGTCTGGTAGGCTTTTGTCACTGGGCAGCTCGCTGCTGTGCTTCCCTTTGTAGTCTGTAATAGTTTTCAAGCCCTGCCACATCCGACGAGCGTCAGAGCCGGTGTAGTACAATTTAATCTTAGTCCTGTATTGACTCTTTGCCTGTTTGATGGTTCGTCGGAGGGCATAGCGGGATTTCTTATAAGCGTTCGGGTTAGAGTCCCGCTCCTTGAAAGCGGCAGCTCTACCCTTTAGCTAAGTGCGGATGTTGCCTGTAATCCATGGCTTCTGGTTGGGGTATGTACGTACGGTCACTGTGGGGACGACGTCATCGATGCACTTATTGATGAAGCCAGTGACTGATGTGGTGTACTCCTCAATGCTATCTGAAGAATCCCGGAACATGATCCAGTCTGTGCTAGCAAAACAGTCCTGTAGCTTAGCATCTGCATCATCTGACCACTTTTTTATTAACCGAGTCACTGGTGCTTCCTGCTTTAGTTTTTGCTTATAAGCAAGAATCAGGAGGATAGAGTTATGGTCAGATTTGCCAAATGGAGGGCGAGGGAGAGCTTTGTATTCGTCTCTGTGTGTGGAGTAAAGGTGGTCTAGAGTTTTTTTTCCCTCTGGTTGCACATTTAACATGCTGGTAGAAATTAGGTAGAACGGATTTAAGTTTCCCTGCATTAAAGTCCCCGGCCACTAGGAACGCTGCCTCTGGATGAGCGTTTTCCTGTTTAGTTTTGGCCTTATACAGCTCATTGAGTGCAATCTTAATGCCAGCATTGGTTTGTGGTGGTAAATAGACAGCAATGAAAAATATAGATGAAAACTATCTTGGTAAATACGAGGTGAGTAATCGCTGTCCTGATATCCAGAAGCTCTTTTTGGTTATAAGAGACGATGGCAGAAACATTATGTACAGAATAAATTACAAATAGCGCGAAAAAACATACATAATAGTACAATTGGTTAGAGGGCTGTAAAACGGCAGCCATCTTCTTGAGGAGAATGTGAGGCCATCTGTCAAAAAGCTGAACCAAACATGGATCTTGCAACAGGACAATGATCCAAAACACAAAAGCAAAGCAACAGAATGGCTCAAAAAGAAGAAATGGAGGGTTATGGAATGGCCGAGTGAAAGCCCAGATCTCAATCCTATCGAAATTCTGTGGGGGGACTTGAAGCGGGGTGTGCATGCAAGAAAGCCCTCAAACATGACACAGTTGAAGCAGTACTGTAAAGAAGACTGGGCAAAAATGTATCCCAGTTGATGTAAGAGACTGATAGACAGTTACAAGAAACATCTACATGAAGTTATTTCAGCCAAAGGGGGCAGCGCAAGCTATTGAAGCTAGGGGTGTACTTATTTTTCCCGCACTATGGAATTGCAATTGATTTTTTTTTAAATGAATAAATGATTGCAAAGTATAACCTTTCAGTGTCATTTGTTAAATTAGGTTACCTTTATCTGTCAATAGTGTTGAAGTGAAGATTACATCCAAATATGTATACATAAATAATAAATAAAGACTCCTTTCCAGGGGGAAAGTTACTTACTTTTTCACGTCTGTATATACAGTTGAAGTCGGAAGTTTACATACACTTAGGTTGGAGTCATTAGAACTCGTTTTTCAACCACTCCACACATGTCTTGTTAACGAACTATAGTTTTGGCAAGTCGGTTAGGACATCTACTTTGTGCATGATACAAGTAATTTTTACATTTTTACAGCAATTGTTTACAGACAGATTATTTCACTTATAATTCACTGTATCACAATTCCAGGTGGTCAGAAGTTTACATACACTAAGTTGACTGTGCCTTTTTAAACAGCTTGGAAAATTCCAGAAAATGATGTCATGACTTTAGAAGCTTCTGATAGTCTAATTGACATAATTTGAGTCAATTGGAGGTGTACCTGTTGATGTATTTAAAGGCCTACCTTCAAACTCAGTGCCTCTTTGCTTGACTTCATGGGAAAATCAAAAGAAATCAGCCAAGCCCTCAGAAAAAAGTCTGGTTCATCATTGGGAGCAATTTCCAAACGCCTGAAGGTACTACGTTCATCTGTACAAACAATAGTACGCAAGTATAAACACCATGGGACCACGCAGCCGTCATACCGCTCAGGAAGGAGACACGTTCTGTACTTTTTGGAGAAATGTCCTTTGGTCTGCTTAAACAAAAATTGAACTGTTTGGCCATAATGACAATCGTTATGTTTGGAGGAAAAATGGGGAGGCTTGCAAGCCGAAGAACACCATCCCAACCGTGAAGCACGGTGGTGGCAGCATCATGCTGTGGGGGTGCTTTGCTGCAGGAGGGATTGGTGCACTTCACAAAATAGATGGCATCATGAGGAAGGAAAATGATGTGGATATATTGAAGCAACATCTCAAGACATCAGTCAGGAAGTTAAAGCTTGGTCGCAAATGGGTCTTCCAAATGGACAATGACCCCAAGCATACTTCCAAAGTTGTGGCAAAATGGCTTAAGGACAACAAAGTCAAGGTATTGGAGTGGCCATCACAAAGCCCTGACCTCAATCCTATAGAACATTTGTGGGCAGAACTGAAAAGGCGTGTGCGAGCAAGGAGGCCTACAAATCTGACTCAGTTACACCAGCTCTGCCAGGAGGAAAGGGCCAAAATTCACCCAACTTATTGTGGGAAGCTTGTGGAAGGCTACCCAAAACGTTTGACCCAAGCTAAACAATTTAAAGGCAATGCTACCAAATGTTAATTGAGTGTATGTAAACTTCTGACCCACTGGGAATGTGATGAAAGAAATAAAAGCTGAAATAAATCATTCTTTCTACTATTATTCTGACATTTCACATTCTTAATATAAAGTGGTGATCCTAACTGACCTAAGACAGGGATTTTTTAATAGAATTAAATGTCAGGAATTGTGAAAAACGGAGTTTAAATGTATTTGTCTAAGGTGTATGTAAACTTCCGACTTCAACTGTATGGCCTCCAGAGTGGTGCAGCGGTGTAAAGGCTGTAACCTGGAGTCCCATAGGGCGGCACACAATTGGCCCAGCGTCGTCCAGGTTAGGGGAGAGTTTGGCCGGGGGGGGGGGCTTTACTTGGCTCATCGTGCTCTAGCAACTCCTTGTGGCGGGTGCAGGCCGACTTCGGTCGTCAGTTGAGCGGCGTTTCCTCTGATACATTGATGCAGCTGGCTTCCGGGTTAAGCGAGCGGGTGTTAAGAAGCGCGGCTTGGCAGGTCATGTTTCGGAGGACGCGTGACTCGACCTTCGCCCCTCCCGAGCCCGTTGGGGAGTTGCAGTGATGAGACAAGATCGTAATCACGAAAAGGGGGGGAGGAAATACATTAATTTATGTATCGTGAATCGCCCATAAATTTGAAAAAGAAGGAGATTATTTTTAGGCCATATCACCCAGCCCTAGATCCGATCAGCTTGTTTTGTCACAGCTGCTCCCAAATGGTTTCCTACCCCTCCCCATTGGCTCTAACCCTTCAGTGTCTACCCCTCCCCATTGGCTCTAACCCTTCAGTGTCTACCCCTCCCCATTGGCTCTAACCCTTCAGTGCTTGTAGATCTGGACTGATAATGGTAACGATGATACCAATCATGAATATGTTTATTAACTCCCTAGAGTCGATGTCCACGCCCCGTGAAAAATGTAATTGGCATAGTAAAAGAAATCAAAATCTGTCTGTTTAACAGTGATGTTCACCTGCATATCTTATTCATTTCCAGGTATATATTCAGTGGAGCTAGTCAATGACAGCCTTTATGAATGGCACGTCAAAATAAGGACGTAAGTATTCAGATCCAGTTATTATTTAATAGAGATAGTAGTTTCCTAGTTGTCCAAGTCTGGATAATCTAGTCTAATCATTCTCTTTATTTTACAGGGTAGACCCAGATAGTCCGTTACATAGTGACTTGCAGGTTCTGAAAGAAAAGGAAGGGGTGGACTACATTCTGCTCAGTTTCTCATATAAAGTGAGTTTCATTCGTTGATCGATTTTATAAATTCTATGGATTTTATGGGCCGTGAAAGCGGTTTTGTGATAAAGGTGTTTCTTGTTTGACTCTTGCAGGATAACTTTCCTTTTGATCCACCGTTCGTACGGGTAGTCTCCCCTGTGCTGTCTGGAGGGTGAGTGCTGCTCAGTGAAGTCTGGATGGACTTATCTCCTATACTTCTGTTTCTACCCAAATAGGATAGTCTCTGTCAGTTCATCAATCCTATTCATTATGTCATTGGAGTGATCGTTTCATTATGTCATTGGAGTGATCGTTTCATTATGTCATTGGAGTGATCGTTTCATTAGGTCCTTGGAGCGATCGTTTCATTAGGTCCTTGGAGTGATCGTTTCATTAGGTCCTTGGAGTGATCGTTTCATTAGGTCCTTGGAGTGATCGTTTCATTAGGTCCTTGGAGTGATCGTTTCATTAGGTCCTTGGAGTGATCGTTTCATTAGGTCCTTGGAGTGATCGTTTCATTAGGTCCTTGGAGTGATCGTTTCATTAGGTCCTTGGAGTGATCGTTTCATTAGGTCCTTGGAGTGATCGTTTCATTAGGTCCTTGGAGTGATCGTTTCATTAGGTCCTTGGAGTGATCGTTTCATTAGGTCCTTGGAGTGATCGTTTCATTAGGTCCTTGGAGTGATCGTTTCATTAGGTCCTTGGAGTGATCGTTCCATTGTCATTATTGTTTCATTAGGTCCTTGGAGTGATCGTTTCATTAGGTCCTTGGAGTGATCGTTTCATTAGGTCCTTGGAGTGATCGTTTCATTAGGTCCTTGGAGTGATCGTTTCATTAGGTCCTTGGAGTGATCGTTTCATTAGGTCCTTGGAGTGATCGTTCCATTGTCATTATCGTTTCATTAGGTCATTGGAGTGATCGTTTCATTAGGTAATTGGAGTGATCGTTTCATTAGGTCCTTGGAGTGATCGTTTCATTAGGTCATTGGAGTGATCGTTTCATTAGGTCCTTGGAGTGATCGTTTCATTAGGTCCTTGGAGTGGTCATTATCCATCACTAATGTAAATCATTCTGAACAACTGTTTTAACCATTGAGACTAGTTTGATGATAAAATGAACATTACTGACTGTGGTATGTGGTTGTCGTACATAGCTACTTTATGCTGAATGCACTGGTACGCTGAGTGTCTGCTAAATAACTAAAATGAGATGGGCCTAATCCTTGTCTGGTACGTGGAGCGGTCCTGGTACTGAGCTGGTACTTATCCTTTCTATTTCAGTTACGTTCTTGGCGGAGGGGCCTTGTGCATGGAACTTCTCACGAAACAGGTCTGGATCTTAATACCATTCACACAATGTTCTTCCCTAATCCAAGTTGCTGAAGAAGTTGGCTCTTTCTCTTTGGTCAATTGTTTTGATAAAAAAAATAAAAAAAAGTCTGTCATCTCCTCTCCTTCATTGCCCTCTTCTGACAGAAGTGACCAGGTGAAAGCCAGCCTAATTGTGTATTTCTTTGCGTTGTTCCAGGGCTGGAGCAGTGCCTATTCCATAGAGTCTGTGATCATGCAGATCAACGCTACCCTAGTCAAAGGAAAAGCCAGGGTGCAGTTTGGAGCCAATAAGGTAGGCTAATGCTTATACCCTGATGAAGACAGCTTGTCTGTCCAAACGTTGGTTATCAGGTTATTAAATGATTGCATCTGAGCTCCTAGAGTGAGTTTTTTTTAAGGCTAATGCGTTAAACATCCTGGTATTGGTACCAGGTGGTATGAGGTTGTTGAAGATGAGTCTGATCTGTGTTTTTTTCCTTTCAGAACCAGTACAATCTTGCCAGAGCACAACAGTCATACAAATCCCTCGTGCAGATTCACGAAAAGAATGGTAAGTCCAACTATCAATCCACATAAGCTTGAATGCAACCTTGAATGATTTAATATTGATAATATACACACCAGTGGTTGTTATGGCATCCTCCTGTGTTGTTATTTCAGGCTGGTACACACCTCCCAAAGAGGACGGGTAAAGAAGTCGCTCCTCACTGGGAACAGAATAATGTCTTTGGGTCTTTTTTTTTAGTTTTTTTTTGGAACTATTTTCTCCCTTCTGACTTATCAGGAGTAAGTATATCATCTTTCTCCTGGAAACCAACTGGCAAATTCTTCCATCTCGCCTGTTGTCGGCTCAGTTGACCAGTATCTCTCCTCTCTGCCTGGTCCAACAATGGGCTAGACTGACCACCTCCTCCTCCATCGCTCTCACGTCACTCCACTTCCTCCCTAGCACTTTCTCTGAGGAGCGTGTTTGTGGTGACAAAGAGGGGATCGTGCTCATCATCTTTTGGACTTTTAAAATCTACACAGAAAGGTTTTTTGTTTTCCCTCCTCTCAAAATGTGGAGAATGGCTTTTTTTCTTCCTGTACGTATGCTGGTGTGACAACGTGGGCTCGACTTACAATCCCCATCACTTCCTCCTGGGAGAGAGAACCTACCTGACGAGACGAGAGCTGGTTGGTTTGCTTGTAGCCATGTCCTTCTCTGTTTTTAAGTGTGACGCTGCCAGCTCTTACCTTACGGCCTCGGCACGGTCTGTGGGATTTAACTGAAAGCTCTGTGGTGACAGTTGGAATTTAAAACGAAGAAGAAGAAGATGGAGGATGACGTTTTAGTGATGTCACCTTTCGTGACACTGCTCCTTTTTTCTCTTCTTTTGTGTAATATTTACAAATTGCAGACGTCGTTGTTAAAATATTATACGCTTAAAATTGTAATTGTACTTGCTGGCTTGTTTTAATGTCCCATGAGCCGGATTGGTGACAAAATGGTGTGTGACTAGGATGCAGGAGGGGCTTTGAACTGAGGCGGAGGTTCTGTCTCGAATGGCACCCTATTCCCTATATAGTGCGCTACTTTAGACCCAGAGTCCTATGGGAATTAACAACGCAGGATGTTGACAACGCTCTTAGAAAAAGCAAAGCATCGCTGCTGTGGGTTTCAGATAAATAGATGGTCAAAAGTTGTACACTGTAAGGAACAGGGTGCCACTCCATGCCATCTCCTTGCTGTCCTGTAGCATGCAGCTATTGATCCTCAGTTACCACACCAAGTCTGAATATTATTCATGTATTATAGTTGAACTGAGCTCCACCTGTCATTTTGTAAATCCATGTACCTGTCTTAAATATAACATTAGTGGGGGGGGGGGCATAACAGGTGTGGCGGAACAGAACAGGTGTGGCCACAGACTGATGTCTCAGAATGTAGGAGGACGACTCCGGTGTGATGTGCTGAAGGTTGTGGATGCGTCCCGAACGGCAACCCCCCCATTCCCTATATAGTGCACTACTTTTGACAAGAGCTCTATGTTCACTGGTCAAAAATAGTGCGCTATATAGTGAATGGGGTGCCATTTGGGACTGGGCCTTTTGTCTTTAGTTGGAGGAGGAGGAGGAGTAAGGCCGGGCTAACCCGCTTGTGAGTCATTGCTGTGTCTGAAAAGGCACCTCAGTCCCTATTATAGTGCACTGTATAGGGACTGAGGTGCCATTTTGGACCGAGTCGTTGTGTAAGCATTATGACCCTCTTATTTTAATCAAAAGGAACGCAAACTTAAAAGACAGTTTTGTTCCTCCCAACCGACGATGAGGTTTAATATGCCTTCTCTTTCTCATCAACAACAACACTGGTCTTCAACTTGCGCCGTTAAAGGTAGAGCAGTCTGAAGTTAGCGTTAGCAGAGCGGGGCTTACCGTTGACGTAGCCCTGTTAGCGCAATGCTAACATTAAAGAGACCTTAATAAGTAAGTAGATAACAACCGGTCTTTTTTATTTGGTGGTTGGTGGGCCTGGAGCATGACATGATGACCACTGTTGTATTGCATTTAAGACGCCGACAGCCTGTTTGTGGGTTCTTTCCTAAATACCATAGGACTTGGCAAGACCGCACAAACATACCCAGGACCAACCAGGCTAGAGCATAGTGTACAAGGCTTCCATGGCGCGCCACATAAGACGTAGTGATGAAAGATGCTGTGGCTATGTACCGTTCACTCTATCCGTTCCTGCACCAAACTTGTAAAGTAAAGCTGTGATTATTTTACCTCCCTCAAACACCTCACTTGTTACATTACCAGTTAGTAGCCAGTTTACATTAGTCAGCTTTCATTGGAGGTTGAAGCATTGTGAGCCTTTCACAATTTGTATGTTTTCAATAGATCCTATTAGAAGTATTAGTATTATTATTGGACAGAGTTTTCATTGGGCTATAGTAAACAACCTGACTGTAATAGGATGTTTTATTGGGTGATATATTCTAAATTCTATAGCTACCTAAGTTGAAACACAGTTAACTATTTGGATGGGGAGCTTCCTTGGCCTGGTAAAGAAATAACATCTTAACATGCGTCCCAAATGGTACCCCTTTTCCCTGTATAGTGCACTACTTTTGACAAGCGCCCATAGGGCTCTGGTCAATCAAAAGTAGTTGACTATGTTAGGAAATAGGGTACCATTTGGGACGCGCACATACGATAATGTTACTGCTATTTGGGACGCTACCATAAAATACCAGGCCTGGTTGAGCATACACACCGTGCATGGAGAGGTTCTGTGTTTTTCACCTTGTATTATCAAGACTGTTTGGCTAAATATCTCTTTTTGATGTGTACTAATACGAAGGATTACTGTATTATACTATGTAAGTATAAATTGCTCTTATGAACTGATGTGGAAGTTTTGGAATGCTGTTACTTACCCCTTTTTTGTTTAGCCTTTCACATGCAATGTGACACAACTGCAGTCCTACTATAAGATGTCTCCCAAATAGCACCCTATTCCCTAATTAGTGCACTACTTTTGACCAGGGCCCATAGTGAATATGGTGCCATTTGGGATACACTCTGTGTTTATCCCATGGGGTCTTTCTGCACAACATTTGCTATCACAACCTTTCTGCAAAAGCAGTTTTGAACTGAACAAAACTCAGGTAAACAAACTGTTTACTTTTGGAAGGGATAAATCCTGCGTCCCAAATAGCACCGTATTCCCTATATAGTGCACTACCCGTATAGGGAACGTGGGGACACCCAGGGTCCTATTGTCTGGAATCAAAAACATTATGGGCATCTGCTGTACATTTTAGTCTTTAGCCTCTTAACTAATACATATATGCAGGCTAAGCTACTATGGGTTTTTTATAGTGCAAGAGGTCTTTAAATATCTCGTCTGTAATGGTAAATATATATTTGCACAAAAATAGCAAGGATGTGCCTCAGTGGTCAATATACCTAAAATAACAAATCAAGTCCTTCAAGAACCTCACCTTTTCTGAATCAGGGGAAACATTTTCTTTCTAGATCAACTCTTCTATCCCTTTATTGTTCAAATGATGTTACCAGTCTGAATCATACAGGCTGAATCTCCCTTCTCCACCCTCCTCCCAAAGTGTACAACTCGCGCACTCCCGATCATGGATTTACTAGCTGGAGGGTGTTTCCACCGTTGTTAAATCTATGATGGGGGAACGTGCAGGTGCCCACTTCGGGAGAAAGGTGGAGAATGGAGACGCAGCCACAGGTTCTTGTATTTCTAGGGGTCGACAGGGAGAGAAGGAGGGGTGGTTTAATTCTCGTCACCAACAGTTGTACTAAATCTACTTGGCTCCAAATGACCAAGACTGCGTCCCAAATGGCACCATTTTATTCCCTACACACCGCACTGCTTTTGACCAGGGCCCATGCGGAGCCCCACAGGGCTCTGGTCTAAACTAGTGCACTACATAGGGAATAGGGTGCCATTTAGAGATAAGCCAAAGCCTTGTCCCGTTACCTCTACACAGAATTGATGGTTGAGTGTAAGATTGACTTCACTTCTGGTCAGGGTTTAGGAGCTCAATCACTTCGGGTCGTCAGTCAGTTCAGTCGTTCATTCTGTGATTAATAAGTTTGCACGCTTCTCTGTAACTGGACATTTGTTTTTGATAAAAGGTTCATCTATCTTCTCTATCTAGACTAATTGTGAATTCATTTTCTGCTCGCAAACAAATGTTGGACAGATTGTCAAGTTTTGCACCGTTGGCATGCTTTGGTTTGTGTTCATATTATTTGTTTCCATTTCAAGAGAAATTTTGACCATGTACAGTAATTTATAAACTTGCATCAAGTTTATGAATAAAGAATTTTAAGATTATTTGTTGGTGATTTGTTACTTTTTTATTTATTATTTTCATTTCTTCTGTTGGGGTGGAGTGGGGGGGACAACCTTGTCACATCAATTAAATAAACTCGTTTTGGTGTTGGCTGTGCATGTTGTTGTTTTGTGAAGGGTAGGCTACCAATGCAAAAACCTTTTAAATCCTTACTGAAATACGTTATGTTTCACTCTACATGAGGATAAGCAGCCAATGGCTTCAGTCAGGGTTTGAGATTGGGGTTTGTATTCATATTTATTTTATTTTTTTTGATTGCTTTTAGTATTCCTTCACAGTTGCACGTCTTGTGCTCTTGTCGCATAAAGCAGTGGCTGCCGATACTACAGAATGTACTTTGTAAATTAGGGCTAATGATTAACACACAGATGCCATTGTTTCCTAATCACCTTTTCCGTTTAAAACAATAAATATACATCCCTTTGGGTCCCCAGGATTGGGAAACACTGATATAGACTAACACCCATCCATAATGAGGGTTGGGGAATAGAGATGACAGGAAGTACATCTATTAAGGAAAATAAATGGTCAAAAAAAGAACAAGGGATGGATTTGCTAGTTGTCAGTTCATCGGTTCTGAGTGTTTATCGTAGTCAGATCTATGGGAGTGCCAGTCTGAGATATCATGCCAACTCCGATTTATGGGAGTCTGATATCAAGCCAACTCCTTGTCATGCCAAACTGACTTAGTTGGCAAGAGCACAAACAGATCTGGGACCAGGCTATTGAAGGAGTCAACAGATCTGGGACCAGGCTATTGAAGGAGTCAGCAGATCTGGGACCAGGCTATTGAAGGAGACAACATATCTGGGACC